CTCACCCGGTGTTTGTAGAGAATATCTCTCTTTCTGAGCGCGTCCTCTCCACGGAGACGTGCTTCTTGGTCGGTCGATGCAATATCCACAGATTCGGTTTCTTTCAGTTAACTTCCCCGTTGCATTTATCCATATATTTACATGCTGAGGAAATTACTATATCCCGCTGAATACCAGCAATCGCCACACACAAAATAACGATAGCCCCACCTCTCCTGCTCACTACTGCTAGTGCTACTGCTACTGACCATGCTACAGATGTTAGTACAACATCTACAGCTCCTCTACCACAACCATCAGCAACAAGTGGACATGGAGAATTACATTAACTACTACATGTTGCTAAATCCACCGCGGGGCATAAACAGAAGGGTAGCCATGGCAACATTGCTGCGGGGCTGCTCCGGGGTCTTCTTCGCTGCTTTTGGTGTATTTTGGCGGAAGTTACAGCGCCACTTACATTCCTGGCATATGTACTACAGCGTTTCCAGCGGTCTCGTTTGAACAGACACGTTAAATGAAACGAATGCATGTGAACGGAAGACTTTTTTGAAAGCGCATACTGTGCATAAACGCAAACGTTCCCGTGTGCACAACGCCTTGATTCATTTGTTAACAGTCCTCAAGGTGTCAAAACCACTGGGCCTCCTATTGTGACATGTTGCATGCAAACTTTTTAAAACCGAGACGTAAAGCGTGATTTATGTCTGGTTTCGGATATCTGGTAATACATGTCTTAGAAACACTTACTTCCATCCAAACAAACTAAAGCCAATCATAAATGTAGTTAACAATGGTACATTTCATGGAGGCAGGATTTGTAGGTGTCACGGCCACTTAGGCCCCGGCTCCACGAGGACAAATACGGCAAAACGCATCGGAGTAACGCAAATGCAACCGCAAAAAACCTTCCGTCCCCACGCAATATACACCGGATTGTGTCAAGCTCCACGAGACGGCTCCGTTTACATCCAAACGCTGGAAAAGCTGCAGTACATATGCCGAACCTGTACGTGGCGCTGTAACTTCCTCCACAAAAGCAGCAACTTCCTCCACAAAAGCAGCGAAGAAGAATGGTTGTCATGGCTGCACTTCTGTGTATTCTCCGCGGTGGGGGCCGACAGAACCGGGCAGAGTTTTTCGCCGGTCAGCGTGTGTTAAAGTTTAAATCTTCCGGACAAAATTATAAAAGTGCCAGTCAAAGGTCTTCATTGTTATTTATTGAGCTTTAAAAAAAATGAATAACGACGATATAATGATATATAATCATCAAATACACGGAGCCTGTCTCTTTTTCCTCTCTTCTGACAGCGTCAGTGTCTGTCTCATGCAGCAGCTGATCCTGTAATGAGTGACCCGACAGTAAAAATGAACATATTTATAACTAGTTTAGGTAGTTTGAGAGGTAATTAAAATAGCTAAGGGTGATGATCTGACTTGAAGTGTGTGTTTTGCTCCCGCTGCATCACAGCGGCAGGAGCTGCGTGTCTCCGTCCTGTCAGATTAGACTTCACTCGCGTTTATGTCCATATCGAGATAAAGATAAATAATCTGAATTCAAGGAGCAGCTCCTGTAGATGTTGCACAAAGAACTGTAGCATGGTCAGTAGCGACTGGAGCACGATAGCAACCCTGCGGGGGAGAGGCGGGGCTATGAAAACGAATGACCGTATAGGCGACTCCACGGCCCCGTTGGACCCCCCAGAGCGCTCCGTTCCCAGATCTATCCACCTTTGGACCCGTTGTCATTTGCGGGGTCTGTTTCTACGTTTCCCTTACGGCGTCGTCGAGCTTAGAGGGCTATACGCATGAGAAATATGCGGATTCAACCCGTTTTCGTCCTCGTGGAGCCGGGGCCTTAATCAGCAGATCTGTCAACACCCCCGATGTTCAGAGCATGGGCGTCGCAGCCATTATATGAGGGTGGGACAAGTCCCCCCCACTTTTTCAAATGATTAGTTTAGACCCCCCCACTTTTACTATGCGGAAAGTCCGTGAATCGGTCTATCCACTCGCCGCACTTTGTAGAGCGCTGTGTCAGTGCTTCATTATCAAATGAAATCCATTCCACTTGCTTATTGAGAGAATGCCCAAATCAATGAAACTCCGTACCATGTTTTCACTGCTACTTTGTACCAAGGCAGATTCTCACATAGTGCGCGCATGTTCAAGGAGTGTTGTCATAGTTGGACAGCTCAGGGGCCTCATTTATAACGCCTTGCGTAGGATTGACGTGGGAAGGTTGCTTACGTAGTACAAAGCAAAAAAATAGGTACAGACATTTTCCGACATTTTCCGATTCACAAAACATTGCGTACCGGCGAGGGAAGTGCGTACGGCACTTCCTACGCCTGTTTCCCTTTATAAATCACAATCGACTCGTAACGCCCATATTTGCCTATAAATAGTCAAAGAAACGCCCATTCATTCATTCATTCTGACTGACTACGTGAAGAAGATCACAGGAAATGAGGACAGAACAGCTAAAAAAGACATCTCACATCGTGTCAGATTTTGGTTATTTTGGGGAGGTCGAGATAAATCATATTGTTTGGTGGATGCAGTTTGAACCAGAGTAGCAGCATGGAGGTCGGATCGTCACCAAAATAAATAAATAAGTGGTCCGAAAAAAGTTAATGACAAAAAAAATGCACATAACCTTCCTCTGGCAGTGTGTTTGTCCCGGGGACAGGAGACACCCCCTTGATGAGAAACTGTAAGAAATTATCGGGGAATCCCTCCGGAGTGGAGTCATGACGACTGGATCTGAATTATTTTGTTGTATTTGGTGGTTTGTGTTCCAGCTGAAGATCAGCAACTATATATCCATAATCCACCAGTTAAAGGAAATACAATGTGTTGTGTTATATTAGCTGTACAATTTACCACATATGGTGTTCTTAGTTTCCATACCTCCTGTGTTTTATGAGCGACTTATCAAGTCTTGGCAAACGGCATAAAACACGATTAAACGTGATAGTATATAAAACCATGCTCGTATCTACAACCTATAGAAATGCAAAACGGCGTCAGTTTAGATGTAATTCTGTCCTCCTGCTTACCGCATCATTTATGAGAAAACATTTCATAACATTAACACAACATATTCGAGGTGGTTTTAAATAACATATCCGTATTTATTTATTTCTCCAAGTTATGTTTTTGTGTGCACTGAGGAGTCTCAAACAGGCGTTTGTTTAATCATTTTAAGATTGGCTTTAATCAATGTTTGAAAATGAATTCTTCATATTTGATAAATGAGAGGTAACATTTTATTTATGGTATTATTTCCACATATTCCTCTCCATTCTTCCTTCTGCCAACGGTGTTGCAGTTTCTCGTCTCTCCCGTTGTTGTGCTTAGTGCGTACGCATGGGTTAGAGTTTGCTTGGAGGACCGCACATTTTCCCGTCAAGTTAGAATTTTATAAATCGCAAACATTGCGTAGAAACTGGCGTACGCCATTTTTTGAGCATATATCCCTTTATAAATGAGGCCCCAGATCTGTTGTATGAAGCAATGCCGGTAGCGGAGGTAAGGCACACACACCAAATGTTCAGGAAATGGTTAATACAGCGAAAATCAAAGCTGACGATCTCTTGGTTTGATATGTTTTCTCCCCCAGACAACATGGACATAAGAACATTTTTTTCAAAGAAGAGGAAAGTAAGTCATCAGCTGGTAGCAGTTAATCAGTTAACAGTGATGGCGGCGTCTTACTTCTGGAGAGGAGTTTCGTCTTTATGTCATGATAGAGAGATACAAATACTGAATAGTTTAGATGAGAAAAGGCATCGAAATGCCAGGTTACTAGTATTTATCATGTAAACAGGGAACATGAATAACCCGATCTCTCTGTGCTCATGTAAACACCATATCTCCAATATGATCATAACCAGGATAATAGGCTACTCATAAACGGCTTACTGATGTCCATGTAGAGACGCAGTCAGTGTGTTTTACTGGAGCCTCAGTTCGATAAGAGATTATTTTCTGAGTTCTTTAACTTAGGTACTCTCTCTCAAAATGGTAATGTGCATTATGTTTTAATTATACTTCTTATCATTCAGAAGCTTTTTGTGTGTGTTTATGTTTTACTGAGTGCTTATAGGCTATTTCCATTCCAGTATTCAGTTAACTATTTATTTTTTGTGCACATTACATAGACTAGCTAATATTCTACCTACTGCTTGGGACTTTGAGTCTTCAAAATGTCCAATGTCACAGACTGGGACTTACTTTAGAGTCCGTTGTATTTACATTCAGTATGACTTGTTATGATTCAATGTGAAAGAGTATACTGCTCAATAAATAATTATCACTTCACCACCTCTCTTGACATCTAGGCACTTGAGAGTGAGTCAGAGGCAGAATACAGGGACAGTGGAGAGAGGTCCATTGCTGAGGTGAGTGATGAAAGGGAAATGACAGTTGAGAGTAAATTGTGATGTGGACTCTCATCCGAGGATTTTAAGGAAATCAGTGGGGATATTGAACAGGAAACATTTCAGTCAAGGGGCATCATATGACCAATATAGACAGAAGAGCAACATTTATTTGAACATTTAAGTCAATGATACCATTCCTAGGTGAACTTAACATCTGTATGGAGTCAGATCAGTCTCAATATTAATAAATGCTCACAGAAGGATTCACAAATGTATTTTGCGATTTATATATAAATGACTCTCCACAACAATATCTCTCAATGCACTCACAAATATTTATTGTTGTATATAAATGTACAAAAAATGGGCATTTAAACTGCTTTTTATTAATTCAAAGACGGCTCTGAATTAATAATCAAATATGTTTCCTTTCTTTACTACTGGATGAAATTACAAAATGTACCCATCATTTTCCTCATGCTAGTATAGCCACATAAAAGTATCAAACCACCTGTTAAAATGCACCAGAATACAGGAAATCTATATATTTTTTCACCCCCCGTTAAAAATGTTCCCCCCACATTCAAGATGCTTCCTACGCCCATGGTTCAGAGGGTAGTCCCCAGTATCCCTCACTTACGGTCTGGGAGCAGAGCAGGACAGTTCAACATTATGATTATTTAGTTTAAAACCAACATTAGTTTCATTCGTTTTCCACAAAACTGTGACGACAGCAGCCTGAACTCTGGGCCAAGTCGGGTCAAAACCGTAGACCTGTATTGAAACTGAAACTAAACGAACTGCGGGGAACTTTCTACATTCACTGGAAACTTGCTTAATTTTGCAGCTGCAGCGGACAAGACAAGACAGGCAGGTCCAGACCAGTACACGAGGAAACTGAAAAAATAACAAAAAAGCATTTATATTCCTAGTTGAGTTCAGTTTGTGGAGGTTTTGTGGCAGTGACAGGATTATTTCAGCGTCCACGGTGAGTTCTGGCATCTTTTCTCTCTTTTTTATACATTTCCGACTTTATCAGTCGCCTAACTTTACTCCTACTTTGAATTAGCTAGCATACATCTTGAAAGCTATACGCATTTTGACTACTATCTTTTAATGCTTTGTCCACTGCATATGTGAATGTATGCTCAAATGTCCTTTTCTTTTCATTCATGCAGATGGCTTGGCAGGGTACCATCGTTTTCTTTGACCTTGAGACCACAGGATTAGGTAAATAACAATCACTTGATGTCTGTTGACTGTTTGTAAATACTTACTATAGTTGCTTATTAGGATACATTATTTATCGTATTTGTGGGGAGCTTTGGGGGTGTGTGTGTGTGTGTGTGTGTGTGTGTGTGTGTGTGTGTGTGTGTGTGTGTGTGAAGTTTATAACTCGAACCCTGGTTAAAGGTGCTATGTCCTGTTAACTTGAATATGCAAATTGCCCATTATATAATGCTTTTTTGAGCTAGATTTGGGATATATCTATTGGTTCTTTCGACTAGTCTAAGGCCCCGCTCACACGGGACCGTTTGCGTTTATGCACAGTATGCGTATTCAAAAAAGTCTTCCGTTCACATGCATTAGTTTCATTTAACGTGTCTGTTCAAACGAGGCCGCTGGAAACGCTGTAGAACATATGCCGGGACTGTAAGTGGCGCTGTAACTTCCGCCAAAATACACCAAAAGTAGCGAAGAAGAGCAGCCCAGCAGCCCCCGCCGCAATGTTGCCATGGCTACCCTTCTGTTCATGGCCCGCGGTGTATTTAGCAACATGTAGTTCATGTAATTCTCCATGTCCACTTGTTGCTGATGGTTGTGGTAGAGGAGCTGTATATTTTTGCACTAATATCTGTAGCATGGTCAGTAGCAGTAGCACTAGCAGTAGCTACTGACAGGAGGAAGTGTGTGGCGATTGCTGGTATTCAGCGGGATATAGTCATTTCCTCAGCATATGGATAAATGCAACGGGGAAGTTAACTGAAAGAAACCGAATCTGTGGATATTGCATCGACCGACGTCTCCGTGGAGAGGACCCGCTCAGAAAAGAGAGATATTCTCTACAAACACCGGGTGAGATCCTCCTTTGTCAATATAATGGATCAATGCATGAAATCTGACTCTGTTTATTTTTGTTTAAGGAGTATATTGGGCATTAACTATTCTGGTTTGCCTTTTATAATATTATTTAATTCAAAAACCCCTTGTGCGTTTAATTAACACAGCTATTTTTGATAGTTGCTACAGCAGTGAGCAGGAGAGGTGGGGCTATCGCAATTTTTTCAGGAAATATTCGTATAGAGGTGATTACACGGACTCGGTTGACCCCCCAGAGCGTTTCGTTTGCAAATCTATCCACCTTGGGACCCGTTATCGTTTGTGGGGTCAGTTTCTATCGGCCTCGTGTAAATAATAGGGCTATACGCACGCGAAACTATGCAGATCCAAGCAGTTTTCTCCTCGTGTAAACGGCGCCTAAGACAAGTACAAAAAAAAGAAGCAAAATCGACAGTTCACTAGTTTGTAGTGACTTTTCTGGCGAAATGTGGCATTTCTTCACGTGTTACTGCCACCAACAGGAAGGTGTGTTCATTGCAACACTGTAAACCTTAAAGATGCCCTGTAATGCTTTTTCCCTTTCCTCTAGTGTGTCATTTAGGTTTTTTGTGCATGTAAATGTTCTGCAAAGGCTAAAATCCCTCCAAAGGGAGTTCCTTTCAGACACTCAAAATACAAATATGAACCTGAAAAAGAGCATAATATGTCTTCTTTAAATAGGCCTCATTCAATACTGGACATTAAACTCAACATCCAGTTTAGCCCTTTTTTCCTAGCACATCTTTTTAAGAGCATAATCTTTTTAAGACATATATTTCACAGGCTTGAATAATCAAGTGATTTATTGTTGGTTTATTCCGTTTAGGGACCTTAGCAATCATTAGTATTACTCGTATCACTCGTCTTACCATCGCAGGTCAAATCGTTTCCTGTCAGAATGAGGATTAGTCATAAAGTAATTCGCCCTCAGGGAACACAGCTGGGTGTATCATGTCATCGGATACAATGGATTTGAATACTGGATATTATGTAAATGCTTGGTGTGGCACGCTCTTGTTCTGATGGTATTTATATCTAATGTGGTATCAGTTTTGTTTCTCTAGAAACTGTGTGCCGTTTTACTATCGATTTTTAGGATATATACTATTTTGAGCAACTTTTTAAAACGTTTTTTATGGCTGACTTTTCATATCAGAGCCAGTTGGTTTGATTTGTATTTTACAGTGAACTTATACATGTATTTATCATTATAGTGATTTATAGATCTATTGATTTATGGAGAACGTAAAGTTAACATAAGGTAAACCTTTATTGGTCCTATAGTAGGGATATCCAGGAAGCAACGTGTGTGTGTGTGTGTGTGTGTGTGTGTGTGTGTGTGTGTGTGTGTGTGTGTGTGTGTGTGTGTGTGTGTGTGTGTGTGTGTGTGTGTGTGTGTGTGTGTGTGTGTGTGTGTGTGTGTGTGTGTGTGTGTGTGTGTGTGTGTGTGTGTGTGTGTGTGTGTGTGTGTGTGTGTGTGTGTGTGTGTGTGTGTGTGTGGGGGGGGTTATACATGTTTGAATGTGTTTTTGGGCGTATCTCTTTCTGACTGGATGGTTATGAAACAAAAGCACACACAGGCCCAATCCCAAACCACACCCTACCCCTACACACTACCCCTCCGTTTGTGCGTTCAAGCCCTCAAACAGCGAGTCTGACCGGTCTCAACGCTGTGTGTGTCCGTCAGGAAACACGCTGTTTACAAGTAGTTCCAGCAAACATCCACTGATAAACTGCGATGTTAACAACCTCATGATAACCTCATATTATTTAACTTAGGATCGTATACCTGTGTTTAGTCTAGAAAAAGGTAAATGTGTGCATTTTATTATAAAGTTGTGTATATTTACAGATTGTTGCAAAAACTAAGAAGCTTATAAAAATCAGGTTTAAAACTAAAAATTAAAGATGTTTGGAGTTTTATTTGAGTTATTAATTTTTACTTTTTGTCTAAGAGATGCTGATTTGAAACCGTTGTTACATACAGTTACGGCATTTCCTGTTTCTGCCGGAGAGAGGGGAGTTTGTCCCAAAGCTTGCCTCTGTATTTACTCCCTCCATCTGACAGGAGGGAGCCTCATTGAGCTGCGAGTGTCACTCCACAGAGTTCACTCCGTCACGGAGGGGGAGTGTGTAGGGGTAGGGTGTAGGGCGTGGTTTGGGATTGGGCCACCCACACACCAATCCCTCATTTAAGTGAACACAGACATGTCTGGTATTGTAATATTCTAAATAATGTATTTTCAAAAAATTAAAGAGTCTGTGTGAGGACCAAAAAGGTAGTTTGTTGCCTGAGGGGCAACAGTATGCCATAGATCACTTTTGTTAACAATATTTATTGATTTATTGATATATTTATTATTTGATTGAGCTCAAAGGTTCATAATTAGTCTACTGCAATTAGTTGTGTAGATGGCATGTCAAAATGGCTTAAATTGTCTTTTTTTTTTTTCTTGATTTCTTTTAATTATTTTAAGGAGATCTTCAGAAATGGAAAGGGAGAAAGGAGCACAGATTAGGAGGGAGGGGGGGATGTAACACCTCCACCAGCCCCCATCCTGTATTGTTTTAAAACTCTCCTATACCCCATTCACACCAACGGTGTTTCGGGGCCGGTTCGGAGCTGGAGCTTGAAAAGCATCGGGTTTTCCTGTTCACACCGCAGCGGAGCAGCCTCTAAGCTCCGGAATCCGGTTCGTTTCGAGCACCAAAAATGTGTCCGTCTAGAAGCAAGAACCGCATACGTCACGCTCACAGCTGGCCCCCAACTGGACGATGTGACACGATTTAGCGTCTGCATGCAAAGAAGGAATTCATGTAATACAAAATATAAAAAGATATAGTCAAAATGATATAGTGGTCATCTTTTGTTCATCAAACGGCTTAATGTTTCACATTAGAAGAAGCGGCTCAAAGCCAAAGGGACTTCAACTACATTCTTCGAGAATACATTGATATTCTGTAAAAGACAATTAACGACCAAGTTGAGATACTATATTTTCAACAACAAAGACTAGTTAACGACCCTCACAAACCCCTGAGACACAGATAAGAAGCAGACCCTAGGAGAGAGTTTTAAAACAATACAGGATGGGGGCTGCTGGAGGTGTTACATCCCCCCCCTCCCTCCTAATCTGTGCTCCTTTCTCCCTTTCCATTTCTGAAGATCTCCTTAAAATAATTAAAAGAAATCAAGAAAAATAAAAAAGACAATTTAAGCCATTTTGACATGCCATCTACACAACTAATTGAAGTAGACTAATTATGAACCTTTGAGCTCATTCAAATAATAAATATATCAATAAATCAATAAATATTGTTACAAAGTGATCTATGGCATACTGTTGCCCCTCAGGCAACAAACTACCTTTTTGGTCCTCACACAGACTCTTTAATTTTTTTTGAAAATACATTATTTAGAATTTTACAATACCAGACATAAATGAGGGGTGTGTGTGTGTGTGTGTGTGTGTTTGTGTGTGTGTGTGTGCGAAGAAAACCCCGGAGCGGCCCCGCAGCAATGTTGCCATGGCTACCCTTCTGTTTATGCCCCGCGGTGGATTTAGCAACAAGTGGACATGTAATTCTCCATGTCCACTTGTTGCTGATGGTTGTGGTAGAGGATATGGAGCTAATTTCCTGCCATAACTCCACAAACAAACTAAACAGGTTTTACAAATGTCCGGCAGTGGCTCAGTCAGTAGGGGCTTGGACTGGGAGCCGTAGGGTCGCTTGTTCAAGTCCCCGACCAGACCTAAATATGGAGTGTGGACTTCTACTTGGAGAGGTCCCAGTTCACCTCCTGCCCTGCCGTGGTGCCCTTGAGCAAGGCACCGGACACCCCCCTCCCCCCCCCACTCCCATTGCTCCCCGGACGCTGTACAATAGCTGCCCACTGCTCCTAGTATTAGACTCCTTGTATTAGGATGGGTTAAAAGCAGAGGCCAAATGTCACTGTGTGTGCTGTGTGCTCTGCATGTGTGACCATTAAAGAGGTGTTCATCCCTCCCTATTCTTCTATTCTACAAATGCCTTATGATTCACTAACAAACACAATGTGGTTTGCAAATACAAAACACCATCTACAAACTAATGAATTTAGTTTTGCAAAGAAAAAACGTATCTATCAA